GGAAGCCAGTCTGTGCACACATGGCTAGATTTCAAGATGCATTGAGTATCTCTATAAATAATTTCTTTATTAGAGAGCCAATGTGATTTACAAGTATTGGATCCTTCAAATTATTATCTAGCAAAAAGTGTAAAAGGCACAACTGGTTAGCTTCTGCTTGGAACTCCAGTTGCTTTAAAATACTTGCAGCCTGCATGGTTCAAAGCACTTTATTTGCACAGAAAGCTCTGCTGCATTTTGCCATTAAAGGAAGTTACTTACGAGGTGGAAAGTGGTTGTTGTTTGACAACATCCAGCACAGGGAAAGAACCACATTGTGCCCTGTTAACAAAGCAAACACACACAGAAAGAAAAATAAGCAGCCAAAATGAAATGCTGAGGGATGAACCTTGGGCTGACACTCTAAGACTAATGCTCAGAGCTGAGCAGAAGTGCCATGTATCATTGGTAGCTGTGAACTCCTCTGTTTTTAAATTATAGTTAATTGACTAAATAGAAAAATCTTCTAGAATTAGAGATCCAAAATCTCACCCTTACAAAAAAGACATTGGACAGGTTTGTTTTTTTTAATTAAATGACACCTAGTTTGGACAATCACTTCCTTGAGAGATGCTCATTAACAGTCACCAAAGTGGCAGTCTATTCTCCAGTTTGCTTCTCAGTTTCTGATTCTGCAAATTAACTTTCAGCATCAGGCTGATGTCAATATTTGTACTCCAAAATTATAGTGTGTTTGCTAAATCACATTGCTTTAATCCAAAAGGCATTCTGATTCCCATTTAGACCACGATCTCAGGGTGCTCAGCTTCCCTGTAAAAGAGCCGCATGCCCTCGGGTCTCATGGAGTCAATGCCATAAGAGATTGCTCAGCTCCCTTCAGAGCTGAGTCTCATTTCTTTAGGAAAACCATAATTAGAGGTTAGGAGCCAGGTTTATGCAATGTAGGTTGCAAACAAGCCATCCAATTCTCATTTACAAATCTCCTCTGTTAACTGTTTTAATAGTGGGAGATTTGAGGGTGAACCAGCACCTCTTGTTAAAGTAATGTGTCTTAATTTCCTGCCCTTTTTTTGCCTCACTGAGGTGTTCTCCAGCTCTTCAGCATCTAGGAGAAGAAACAGCTATCTAATCAGCTTCTCTGAAGGAAATGCCTCTTTAATGAATCCAAATCTCCAGCAGGACTCAAAATAGCAAGGCAGTAAAGTCAGAAGTGTTTATAGAAAGAAACTGCATTAAAACTGCTGGCATCGCGGGATCTTGGAAATGAAGACTGCTGACCCATCGAGATGCTGTACCAACCTCATCCCTCCCTCCTGCTATACACACTTGGCTGACGCACATATTCATACCCCCATTCTAACCCCACAGACCATTGAAATCCTTTCTTGCCCTCCCCCTCCTGCACCACCTGACCCACAAGATTTCACACTGGAAAATTACAGAACAGAGCTTCAAGACATTTTGGCTGGCATCTTGGTGTTCTGTGTTTATTTATGTGTTCTTCCATTCTCTTTAACTGTATCTGACATTATTCCTCACTTCTTCTGCATGCAAGGCTTCCTTCAGACAAATGCATGAAGTAGAACTGACCAGCAGTGCCAATCTGATGCTGAGGAGACACGATTTATGCTACATGTAATCCACTTTGGCAATACACGAACCTTAAACCCTGTTTAAGATTGCAGCAGTGCTTCATGTTGGAGTTTTTTAATTAAACCACAGAGCTGATACGTCTACTATGAGACCATCATCTTCTCCTCCTGCCTGTCCTTTTCCCTGTGGCATCCTCAGTGAGGACAGACACAAGGGGTGTCCATCTCTGATCCAGGATGGCTGAGCTGGATGAGGTCCTCATTAGCAGGACTGAGGTGCTGTTCCTCCTCCTGATACCAACACTGCTGATGGTTTCATCATTGGCCCAATGAACTAAAGCAAAAGAATGCTTTAGACAGATCAAGAAAGCTCCAGCTGCTAAGGTTACCCAAAGGTGAAAGTTGACAGAAGCCCACAAGGACTCAGCATAGAGACATCCAGCAAACAAGATGTAATAAGACTGTCTCAGGGGAGCCGACACGATTAAGATTGTGGTGTCCAACCTTATCTCTGACAACACGCTGCCTCCCAGCTACAAATGTTCAAGTGTTTATAAAAATCTGACAGGGTAACTGCAAGAAATGTAATACAGCTCATCACGGGGGGAAAAGATGGTCGTGGAAATAGCTGAGAATTGTGTTGGTAAAACTATTAAGACCCAAGAAAAAGGGAGTATTTTAGTTACAAAGTCCTTTCTATGCTAATGATAATCCATGAACATTAGCATTCCGCACATTAGCTGGGTCAATTTAGGCCAGAAAAACTGTTTGGGTATGACAATAATTAACTATTAAATCCAAATAGTTCACTCATCCATTCCTGAAGCGCTCTACTGAAATCTCTCAGGAATGTAAGCCTGCAGGAGACAAGCTCAGGTCTGCTGAGCTCACCTGGCTGGAGACATGAGACCTTCATTCTTTCTTCCAGCAGAGCAACACAGGAGGAAATTTTCTGAAGAAAATTAGTGCAAGTGTACAAAATAAAGAAGAGAGAAAAAAAGAATCCAAGCATTGTCTCCTCTGGACAGCGATTTAAGTGATAATCGTATTCTGCTGCAATAAACTAACCAACCAGATGTTTCAGATAATTAGTATTAAAGTTAGATTTTTATAGCAGCTGTTTTCTTTCTGCCAGACAAGCAGTGTATCTGCTTCCTGGGCAAAGTCTTACGACAGGATGTGTAAGACGTGACTGTGATGTGTGATGGCACTTGCTAAACCATCCAGCTTGAATCATGGTAAGCATAGTAGCATGTGCAGCAGCTCACTTGGGTTGCCAGGTACGCACTTGGTGGGTTATGTGTGTGTTCCCACAACTTTGCTGCCTTTAGAGCTCAACCTGGCATAGGCTGGCTCTGTCTCCAAAAGCTAAATGGCAAGACCAGCAAACTCCAAACCTTTGTTTTTGCAGGGAACTGTACAAATTCCACTGATGTAATTCTAAATCCTTAAGTGTTTTAAAAGACACTGTTCTATTTTCATCTATTAAAAAGTCTGTTGGGTTATCCATCCTGCTTATAACACTATAGAGGCCATTTGGAACAAAGCACATCTTATAGAATCATAGAATCTAACTATGTTAATAGAATTAATATCCAAATCTCTCTATCCAGGGTCCTTTCCAGACTTTGATGTGACTCAGGTGTGCCTGAGAAGTTGCAGCAAGGTTCAGTATGGGAGGAAGATGTTGGCAGCTGATGAGCAAAGGGCAGCAGCTGATTGTGCCAGGTCTCTCATGTGTCTATCAAGCACTGGTTTGCAGTTCTGTGCTTGGGTAAAGGTTCACCAGCTCAGGTGGAGGTGGTTCAACATCAATTTTCACCATCGTGGTTATTGTAAGTGCCCCAATAAAGGAAGAGCAAAATGGAAATCTCTAGACAGTGATAACATTTTGGAAGGAGCCACTCAAAAATTCCTTTATAATGTCAGTGCTTTTGATTTCCCAGTGTGACAGGTGATCGGCATCTTCCTCAGTATTTAAAAGTTCAGAAGTCTAGAACATCTTTGAAAAGGAAATTTAGGATCCAAATCATGTTTTGAAAAAGTTAGCCTCTGTTTCCAGAACAGAAAACTGTTCTAAAGATCACTAACATCCCAGTACTATATGGTTCAGTGCTGCTTAGCTGAGAGTGAAACAGCACGAAAATGTGTGGCTGCAGCCCCCAGTCTACACCCAGAATTGAACTGGAAAAGTGCACCTGAAGAGCAAAGCAGATCAGGTTTTGCAGGTAGGCCAAGAAGGAATGCAATCTGTAATAGTAGAAGTGATGATTAGCGGTTTTTAAAAGAAGATATCTTCTTGAAATTAGAACTCGAGGTGAGGGTGACAACAAAGGCCATCATCAGAAAGGTACATGGCTGGGGACATGAAGCACTGGCCTGAGGGCAAAAGCTTGTTCATGTGCTCATGGTGCTTCAAGATGACATCTCCTGTTTTGTGCTGATATGGCCTCACCTTGAGCACTGTGCGCCACAAAAAGGACATAAAAGTTATTAAGGAGAATCTACAGAATGGATGTAGATGGTGAAGGATCTGCAGGGGAAGGTGTGTGAGGAGCAGCCGAGGTCCTTTGGTCCCCTCATACAGCCACCTCACAGAGGGGCAGAGCGGCAGCACTGATCTCTCTGATGACAGCCACAGGGCTCTAGGGAATGGCATGGGGCTGTCGGGGCCGGGTCAGGTGGGGGTTAGGGAGAGGTTGTGCAGGAGTGGAACAGGCAGCCCAGAGCAGCGAGCACGGCTCAAAACTCCGGGAGTTCAAAGAGTGCATGGACACTGCTCTCATATGGAGCCTGTGGGTGTTGCTGTGTGGAGCCGAGAACTGGCTTCGATGATCCTTGTGAATCCCTTCCAGTTCGCGATGTTCTGTGATTCTGTTACCGTTCGTTTATTTATTTATTTCGAACGTGCAGTATTTATAGGCCCTCCCTTTGCCCTTTAGTCCGCGTGCAGGAGCTTCTCAACGGACGCAGCCAGGAGGGAGCTGAGAGTAAAGCAGAACCCTGGGGCTGGGGGCGGCTCTGGGGGGCTGCGGAACCGCGGCTGAGCGAAGGCTCTGGCCGCAGAGGAACGGACCGCGCGTATCCCGGGACGGGGCCGCCCCGCCTCCTGCGGAGCCTCCGCCAGCCCCGTGCTTTCCCCCGCCCCTCTCGGCGGCGGGGCTCGCGGATCCGGCCTGCGCGGGGCTGGCGGAGCGAGGGAGCGCGGCACGGCGAGGGGAGGAGAGACGGCGGGAGGAGGAGGAGGAGGAGGAGGAGGAGGCGGCGAGCTGGCCATGGCAGCAGCCCGCGGGCGGAGAGGCAGCAGCCGCGGGCTGCCGCTGTGAGCGGCACCCGGAGAGAGGAGGAAGAGGAGGAAGGCGCGGAGCAGCCGCGGGGCCGCCATCCCGCGGCGGTGCCCGGAGGAGGATGCCGGGGAAGCGGGGCTCGGCGGGCGGCGGAGAGCTGCCGGGGGCCGGCGCGGCGAGGCAGCGGAGGCGGCGGAGGAAGGTGTCCTGCTTCTCCAGCATCCAGCTCTTCCTGGTGTCCGAATGCGCGCTGATGCTGGCCCAGGGTACCGTGGGAGCCTACCTGGTGAGTGCTCCGCTACCCGCCGAGCCGCGCACCGGGGGAAGTTGCCGTGAGCGCGGGGCAGCTCGCCGGCCAGAGCCGTGGGGAAGCCCGACTGCTTATTTGTATGTGTATGAATGTGTGTGTGTGCATCTGACTCCAGCCCGGCTTTTCCCGGCTTAAATGACTCAGCACTGTGAGGGGTTCCCCGCCCGCCGCCCCTCTCGCGTGTGCGGCCGCACCTCGGGCTCCTCCGGGCGCCCGCAGCCGGGGCGCGGGGATGGATGCGCTGTGCGGCGGCCCGGCTCCTTGTGCTGGGTGAACGCCGAGAAAACCTGCGAGGAGGAGACATTCAACATTCAGCTTCCCCCCCCTCCCTCCCCCTCTTCCTTTAATCCCTATGTTACTAATTTCCCCTGTCCTCTTCAGGTGCTAAAGCGCAGCAGCCCCACGCATCTGCTCGGTAAGCAAACGCAAGACTTTGCGCTGAGTCTTATTGCGGTCTGCTGTCAGAGCAGGACCGTAGGAAAGAGTTGAGAAGGTGTCCGTGAGGCTGAGCCCATGCCTCCGAGCACGCGAAGGACTGTGCTTCCAGCAGATGCAAGTGGAGAGTTGAATCAAATTTCTCAAAATAGCGTCCTGGATTTGAGAATTATAGTTTCCATGGAAAAGAAATGTAGTCGTAATCTTTAAGGCTTTTTGAGGCTATACACGTAATACATTATAAAGTGTAAGAGCTCTGCATTCTGTGCTTGTATTTGGTACTTAGCGCTGCTTCTCTCAGGTTCATCTAATTATGTAAATTTGTACTCAGTGTGATCTGTAATTTTTCAAGGTATGTGGCTAAAATGAATGTGGTTAATATTCGCTATTCATAAACATGGCATGGAAATTTGCAGTCATCTCTATATTACAAAACACATCAGTTTAGTTTGGGATGTACCTGTAATTCCAAAGGAATTATATTAAGATAAATTCAGTAATTCTCTCTCATGTGAGCAGCACCTTAGTGTGCCAGTATGTTGTTACCACCGAGCTCATTGCCAAGTGAGCTGTCAGCCTGAATGAACCAGGGATAATCCTTCATCCAACTGATGGCCAAGGAGTGACCCGTGGAGGTGATGTCACCCAGCGGGCACCAGGATGCTGGAAATATGTATATGTGTGTATGGACACGCCGTGCTGGTGTGTGAATACCTGCTGTGCAGGAACAGCAGATCAGTCTTGAACGCGGCGTTTTCCCCAAACTTCTTTGCATTGCACTCTGTTTGCAGCCCTGCAGTTCTTGTTCTGTTTCTCCCATCTCTCAGGCATTGCTTTGCACTGAAGTTGTGCACTTGCTGCATGTTGGAACATTTTGGAAAACATGCAGCCAGAGCCTCGGCTCCTTCCTCTGATGGTTAACTGCCCAAGTGCTGCTGTCCTCAGGCAGTGAAGTGCATCCTCACCAAGCTGACATTGTGCCCTGATGCCAGCCAGGCAACTGGTCAGTGGGAGAAATAAAAAAGGAGCTCCAAACAGTCCCTAGCATCCGTAAGCAGCGGCCCAGCTGCACTGTGCAAGTGTTCCTCAGTTCCCTGTATAATTCATCATCCGTCATTGCAAATACCACGCAGTTCTCAGTACAGTGAACAGATGCAAATGTGGAATTATCTTTGGAGGGTGAATTGGGGTGAGTGCTGCACTTACAGGTGTCGTGGGGGAGCAGAAGCAGGATGGGAGCAATGCATAGTGAAGGCTTGGGGGACCTAATCACTTCTGCAGACCTGTGAGGCCAGGTGCTGCTCGCAGGTGCTGTCTCAGGACCAAGCACAGCTGAGCACTGTGAAGTTGCTCAGGAGCAAATTAATTCACTGCTGGGCTTGGCGTGGCTGCTCCCCGAGGGACAAATTAACAGGTGAGACCAACAGGAGAGCAACCAGAAAGACAAATAGGGAGACGCTGGGGAGGCACTTATGGTGTGTAGTTCTGGGCAGTTGGATAAGCTACTAATTTTAGCTTGTCAGTGGTGACTGAGCACCACGTTCATACTGTGCTTGGCCCCGTGAGTAGCTTTCCCTGGTTATTGTGTTCCCTGGTTATTCAACTCAGGAAGAGAAACCTTTCTCTTTTTGCCTTGTATGGCGACAAGTGGATTTCCTCACTTCTATCTGCCTGGCTTTGCATGGGGAGACCATGGGGACAACACCTCTGCGTGGTAAGGAAATGAGATGGGCTTGGCTGGTTAGGAGTGGTCGGAAAGCTCAGTTTTGACTTTGCCTTTTTGTGTCAGTAGATGTAAAAAGGAGTGCTGTTACTTCTTAATCTTTTTGGAGATATAGAAACTTTTTTTTCCCCCTTGTTTTCCCTGCACAGTGAACTAGTGGTGCCTGCTCGAGTGTATGTGCAAAGTATACATTCATTATGTGGTTTTGAAGCAGAGATCGTTCACTTTTATTTGTTCATAAAACATCGTGCTTGCCAACAGGGCTTTATAAATAATAAATGCTGATAAAAATCTATACAGTCCAATTCTTTTTCCCACAGAACTCTGCAGTGAAAATACCGCAGGATGCCAATAGTGGTGGCCTATGTTTAATTAGTGTGGTGTCTCTGAGGTTCTTCCTGTGAAGTTTTTGGGAATATTTGATCAAGATCACATTCCAGAATGTATTGCTCTTGCTGCCTGCAAAATGCACGTGTTCCAAACTGACTCGGTGCCGTACCCTGCTTATGTAAATGCACGCCTGTGCTTCTGCCTTAATTTCTAGGGTTGTTGAATATACCCTGTTATTTCCATATTCCTGTAAGGTTTTGAGTGTGCATTTGCTTGGCTTTATTTCATTACTCCTGCTTGCTTTTGGAAACTTGCATTTCCCAGCAACTGCAGCGGTGCTGGGCAAAGCGCTGCTTGTAGGCTGCAAGCATTCCTGCTGCAGAAGTTACTCAGGGTTTAGCAGCAACTTCTGAAAGCCTGGATGATTTCCAGCCCCTGGGTTGCTCTCTGGGAGCTGAGGTCTGCGGATGGAAGAACTGTGCGTTAGCTGGTGCAGATGGCACGAGGAGAGAGAGATGGGAACGTGCATTCTGCAGCCCTGTGCCTTTCAGGCAGTGCAGCAGCGTGCCGGCTGTGCAGCCGTGGGGCTTTTCATCATGCTGATTCGCATACCTCAGCAGCAGCTCCCCCTCCACTCCTTAAATTCCTGTAAGTGTTATATTTTGGAGTATTTTAATTGGTACCGATGCTTCCCGTGCTCTTGATGGTTTGTCGTCGGGGTGTTTTGTCGCCCTGCCTGTCAAAGGCTTCTGCCCCGGCCAGTGGTGAAATCACACTGTAGCAAAAGGTGACTGGCTCTCGGTTTGCCAGCCACAGTTTGTGGAGCAGGAGAGCAATTTAATTTTCTCTCCCTCTGTCCTTTAGCCTTAGATCGCTCTGGTTTGAACTGACCTAGATGCGAGCACCCAACATCTGCCAAAGTCACGGCTTCTTTAGATGGAGGGCATGCATATGGGAAGTGCATTGGGAAACAGTCCCTTGGTGTGCTCTGGGTATGGCTGTTCTTACAGAGCTCTACTGAGATGTCTCTGTTTGCTGCAGCTCTGAATGTAGCTATTCACGTGTTATATTGAGTGGTAGGGGATGACTGGCCTGAGCAGGAGATGGAAAGGAAAATAATTAGTCTTTCCTCAGGAGGGTGCATTGGTGTTTGCGTGAGAATGAATGCCAAATTGTTTCTTGTTTTCCTGAATGAAAACTTTGGAGCTGTGCGTAACTTTGTGGCAAGAGCTTTGCCTGTGCTGCAGCACTCGGCTACAGCTTGCAAAAGCCATCCCAATGTATCTGCAGTAAAAGCAGTACTGTGTAAGTCCAGGTGAGACTGTGGGTACTGATGTGGTGTGTGACACTATAGAAACATGGAATATTTGGAGTTGGAAGGGACCCTATGGATCATGGAGCCCAACTGCTGGCTCTGCACAGGACCGCGCAAAAATCAGACCATTAAGGGACGTGCTCCTTCTTTTGGGTCTTTATTACTATTATTAATGAAGACTTTGAAATACCAAATCGAGGAAGAAGTAGGATGAAAGATAAAAACAGACATCAATCATTGAAGGGCTCGTGCTGGAACAGACACAAATAATGTCCTGTGAGATGGAGCTAAGAGCGCTATTTGGAGCTGGGGTTTTAAAGTCATTTTGGTGTGCAGCCCCTCCTCCCCATGTTAAATGTGGCAAATACAGCACTGTTCTCCTCTGAGGTCCAAGTGCTGTAGTGACCCTGTCCAACTGGCCTTGAGGTCAATGGCAGTGTCCACGTGGAGGATGCCATTAAGGCTTGCTTATCACAGCAGCACTGCGGTGCTGGAAGGCTCCCTCTTGTGCATGCTGCTGTGCAATGGTACCCAGGGAATGCCTTTGTCCCTGAGTGCCTGCAGGCTGCATGGCCTGGCTGAGGGTGTTCTGCAGGTGTGGGGAATGAAGCTGGGATTAAGTGTGATTTCTTATTCTGTTGCTGAAGGTATCAAGCAAACTTTTGCTTGGTTGAGAGCAGCAGAGTCCAAGTGGCTTCAGCCCTGACACAGCAAGGAATTCTAGTTTTGGGTTCTTCACCCCAGTGGCTTAACTGCAAGAGCATTTTTTCCCCACTGAACGTACTGATTTATTGTTTTTTATTCAAGTATTTATTTTCCTAGAATAAGAATCTGCTTTAAAATATCACTGTACTTTTTTTTTTCCTTTCTGTTCTCAGCAGTGCTGAGTAATAAATTAGCTGTAATGCTCATAATTTATTTGTCACTGGGGCATTTAAGGGGAGGGGGGGGAAAACACAGAGAGAAAATGAATGTTTTAACGGGGATGAAGATTGCCAAGCATTGGCTGGTTATTGCTTACAGTTCATTTTTCCTTAATACATCTTTGCTGGCTATGTTATTTCTGGAAAGTTGTTTCTAGTGTGCGTTTCCCATTAGGGAATATTGTCTGTTTTGCAGCTGAGTTGCACAGAAAGTTATTCTGAACCGGCTCTGCTGAGTGCATTCATAGTC